TCCTTTGCTCCTCACTTTCACTCATGCCTCCTATCCAGTTTGTTGTGAAACATTGTTTCCGTCTCAGCCTCTCTCTCATGGACCCACTGCACAAAGCTACTGCTCTCCCTTAGGTCCACATTGCCTTTCACCTGGTCTATTGGAGTAGATGGCTATTGGTTACTTTCCTGTAGGGTTTCCCTCAGTCAAATCTAACTGCCCTGTAGCATCAGTGATTTTCTGGCTAGCATAGTTCTGGCCACGTCTCTCTTACCTCTCAAACTCCAGTGCCTCTCTAATCCTGTGGGATCAAATAAAAATGTTGGCTTGGCATTTTGTAACATAGCTTCACCCTGCTTTTTCAGCCTTCTTATATATTGAAGGTCTTCATGAACTCCCGCCTTACTGACTAGATACTGTTGCTCACACAGGACATCCCATCTTCCGTCTCTGTATGTAACATACGCACTAGGTGTACCCCATGCCTGATGTGCTGTGTCTCTTTACTACTGCCTCTTAACATCACTGGCTTTCTTTAAGACACAGCTTAAGCTCCAACTTCTACAGGAAGCCTATCCTAGTCCCCCTAGTTGGAAGTGCCTTCTCCTCCAAGTTTCTCTTGTATTTGCTTTTTATGTGTTTTGAATATGTCTTTGTATGTATGTAGGCAGTTAGATGATGCAGTGGATAGCACGCTAGGCCTGGAGTCAGAAAGACTCATCTTCCTGAGTTCAAATCTGGCCTCAGACATTTACTAGCTGTATTACCCTGGGCAAGTCACTTAACCTTGTTTGCTTCACTTTCCTAATCTTTAAAACAAGCTGGAGAAGAAAATGGCAAACTACTCCACAGTGAGTCATGAAATGTCAGACACAACTGAGAATGATTGAACAACACATATGTATGTGTTGTCTTCCTGTTAGGGATGTAAACTCCTTGGAAGGTAGAGACTATTTTGTTTTTGTCCTCTTAGCCCCAGCATATAGTAGGTGCTTAATAAATGCTTCCTTGATTCTCATTAGGAGATAAGCTATAAGTACCCTAGATGTAAATATCAGTATATGGGGGAAAAGGAGTAAAAGATGGTTCAAGAGCCTTATGGCTACATGAGGTATTTCAGAAATAGGTCAAAGAGAAAGAAAAGGACAATAAATATTGGTGAAATAGCACTCAATCACAGCTTAAGGGGAAAATTATACTTTTTTTGTTGTTGTTGTTGTTGAAAAGTTAATGGACCATCATTTGTTCCTTAATAACAAGAATATAAAACTGTGTCACTGTATAGGTTATTTCTCCCATCCTTTCCTCCTCTTAATTTAAATTTTTCCCTGAGGAAGAACTACATATTGCTCACTTCTAAACAAGTAATGAAGTGGAAGGACAGAGGGTGGAAAGCCGGATCCTTTTTTTTTTTTTTAAGAATATTGTCTTACAGCCATAGGGAAGGATCCTCTGTTCTGTGTTAGCAGCTGTGGTTTTTACAGAGTTTTGTCTGTGGCTATAAGAGAATAGGTAGCTCTCATTTTTAAAATGAGCAAGTATCAATTTAATTTTCAAATTATTTGGAAAAAAAACTTGAGAATCCTTAATCCTTTGAAAGCATATAATGCCCAAATATTAGGTGGTATTATTTCATAGACAGGAAACTTTGATTTCCTAGCTTTGCTAATTTTTGCAATTGGATTGTTTACCTTTCTGAAATGAGTTTTGTTTCCAGAAATTACTTGACTGCCAGAATGAGTTTGCTTGATTGTGGCTGTCCTTCTGCCTCCCTCCTCTTCATTAAGGCACAGAATGTCAAGGATGGAATTTTAAATCCTTTGGTGTGGACTGACAGGTTTTTGAACATGAGCTTTTTCAAGCTCTTCCTCTCAAGGTCAGAAGAGTTATTGTTAGTGACTTCAAAAGCTAGCATGTCAAAATGAAATCTCATTTAATAAGGGGTACAATGTGTTTTAAGCTGTGTTCTTTGAAAGGAATAGAATCTGTGGAATCAGAACTAGAGGTGAGAGTTCTCGTTGGGATTCATGCTGCGGCCACGTAAACAGTCCCTGACCAATGAGTGTACTCACTGTGCTTCTGAATTCTGGTAACTTTGGACAAGGCATTTCATCTTTCTATTTCTAATTTATAAACTGAAAATTATAACTATTGATACTGTCTTTGAAATATAAGTATGAATTACATACAGATAATACTTTATATTCAGGGAGCAGTAGTTGTGTGTGGCTCCTAATAGTTGGAATATCTGCTTATGAAGTTTATCCTTTAATAAATGGTGTCCCTGAGGGACTTAAATAGTATGTTTAAACAAGAACAAGAACCACAAAAAGAATCATGGTGTCTGGATGGGGAGACCATTTTGGTGAGGGCCACTTCCATTACCTTTTGAATTATACTGTGAAGAGGGTACTCTATTCTGCTGGCCCCTGATCACATTTCTCATTACAATGACAGCCCCAGCCCTGAAGGAACAAAAAGTGGTATTAGGGAGGAGAGGGGCATAATTTGCCCAGAGAATTACTCAGCTGCCTCTGGCTCCTGTAAAAAGTAAGGAATCCATTAGTCAGAAGTTTGAGTATGGAGTTGTAATGTTAGGATTTCTTTAGTACTAAAGCTAAACTGTAGGTAGGCCCTTCTGTTTTTTAACCAGGAAGAGCTTCCATCATTCCTAGCTGAATTAGGAGTGTGGGAGGTGCTGACCTTGGGGGTTTAGGTAGAGGGAGTGGAGATGAGAGAGATAAAGGTTTAATCTGTTCTTCTTTGTTTTAGTAGCCTCCTCCAACCTTGCTTCCCATCCCTATTTCTGACCCAAGATCTACTCCTTTCTCAAGACTTCACTTGTCTCATTCTGTAAAATGGGTAGAGGGGAATAGAACCCTTGCCTAATTCCCAGGCCAGGCACAAGTAGAGACAAGTACCTGGCTAGGTTGGTTCACTTACTTTAGGTTCATATTCCCTTGACCACTTGTCTAGCATCTCATACATTCACTGGGGAAGATTATTTTCATCTACATTCAGCACAAGCTCTAGTGCAGACCACTGACCTCAAAGGTTTCATTTTCCTATGGAGTCTAGGAAGAAATTTGATCTAGCATGAATCTCTCTGAATCATCCTTCTAAACCATTTTGTTAGATTCTCTATGACCCTGACTGAGGTTGTACCTGAAATTGGAAACTAATACCCTAAAAGATGGCAGAGAAGACTTTTGGGGGAAACCTTGATTTATTTGTAGAAAAAAACTGACTGGCTACATTTTTCCTTGTTCCATTTTTTACTTCTTTTTCTTTTTTTTCTTTTTTTCTGCTAGGAAATGGGATTAAGTCACTTGCCCAGGGTCACACAGCTAAAAAGTATAAAGTATCTGAGATCAGATTTGAACTCAGGTCCTCCTGACTCCAGGGCCGGTGCTATCCACTGCACCAACTAGCTGCCCCCATTTTTTACTCCTTTTTCAAAGGCATACTTTCCTCCTGTAAGATAGATTTTTATATTGCACATCTCATACAGATTTCTAAATCAATATCCTATTTTAAGCACAACTGATGTAGATATTTGGAACCTTTTAATCTGGAAATTAATAAAATGGAGATATGAGTTATATATTAAAGGGCAGCAAGGTAAGTACTGAGCCCAACATCTGGAAATAGAAGTCATGAGTTTTAAACCCCACTTCTGACATGTAACCTTAGGCAAAGCAGGCATTAAATCTCTCCAGACCTCAGGTTCCTCATCTATAAATCAAGAACATTGAACTAGAAGGCCTTTGACATCTCTTCCAGCTCAAGATCCATGATCCTTTCTTTAATCAGGCAAATAAGATTGGTCAATAAAAAATCTGTTCAGGAAGAAGATTGGACTCGTTAGTATTTCATTCTATGAAACAATATAGAGTTGGCATGGGATTACTTCTTTTGTCTCTTCTCTCCTCTTCCTGACTCTTTCAATAACCTAGGAGAATGAATAGAGCAGCCACTCACTAATGTGTTTACTGACTGACTAAAGAACCTCCTGATGTTCTCTAGGATGGTGCTTCTTCCCCTCCCCCTTTTTTTCTTTATTAATTTATTTATTTTTGCTTTTCAACTTTCACTTCCACAAGATTTTGAGTTCCAGATTTTCTCCCCATCTCGTCCCTGCCCCACCCCAAGACAGTGTGCATTCTGAATATCCCTTCCCCTAATCTGCCTTCCCTTCTATCTCCCCCCTCCCTTCTCTTTTCCCCTTCACCTTCCATTTTCCTGTAGGACAGGATAGATTTCTATACCCCATTGCCTGTATATCTTATTAGGACGGCGCTTTTTAAACTGTGGGATCCCGAGTGGAAAAAGTTTAAGAAGCCTTGCTCTAGGAATACAGGCAGAATTGTACTTAACAATTAAGATAGCTATCCACTTTTTTCTTAGCTCAGTAGATATTCCACAACTTCATGTCAAGTAACTTACAAAGACAGGAAATCTTTTCCAATATCTAACTTATTAGTGATTTTTTTTTTTAACTAGGGGAAACTTTAGGTTTTAAGCACCTTCTGCTTAAAAAGACACTATTAGAGAAAGTCAGGAACAGCAGGTGGATACCATTGCATGTTATGTAAAACATATTAAAATATCTCAAGAGAGGAAGGATTCTCATAAATATTGTAAAGTTGCTCTATGGAGGATTTATGGAAAGATGGCTAAGAATTGCATAGGAGGAAAAGTCATAGTTGGGTTATAGTCTTCATGGATTAAGAGTGTGCCTACACTTATAATATCATGGTTCCCATGAAGTTTCGGCATATCAACACTTTAGAGTTCTCATTTCCCTTTAAATTTATGTTTCTATTACATTTTAGGTTTCTTTAAGTTCTGTGGTGAGGGAAATGTTACAAATTTAAAAAAAACTATTTGAAACTATTGTGCTTGAACTTAACTTTTTTTTGGTATTGATTACTGGCTGAAATATGAATTCAATGAGAGAAAGACAAAATTTCTGACTTTGATTACCATGGTTTTTCTCTGTTTTATTGTTTGTTGGCCAGGACTTTGTCTCATTGTATCAGGACTTTGAAAACTTCTACACAAGGAACCTCTACATGCGAATTCGAGACAACTGGAACCGACCGATCTGTAGTGTGCCTGGAGCCAAGGTGGACATCATGGAAAGACATTCCCACGACTATAATTGGTCATTCAAGTGAGTCCATATTACGGATAATTTCCCAAATGATAACTCTATAGTGAAAAACAAAATAAACTTAATTTGGGGGACACTTGATAATGAATTGAATGAAAGATTTTTGGGGGGTAAGCTTAATTCCCACCATAAACCTACAGGTTTCATTGAAAAATAGAATAAAAACTGTTGAGTTTTTAAAGTTCTTTTCTGACATTTTACATTTCTGTTACATTTAACTTTGTTGGAGTTAAAGTCCTGGCCAACAATATAACATACATGTTGTGTTACTTTGAAGTCATTAAATTTGGCCTTCAAACAAAACCAACCTTATGCTCCTTATTACAATCAAATGTCTGACTTTTTAACTGCTTAAAGGGTTATAATAAGATTGTATGGAAATGTTGCCCCAAAAAAGAAAAATGTCTGAAAAATGGAATTAATAGAGTAATTTAACTTAAGTGCTTTAAAGTTTGCATATGGTCTGGAAAAATTTCAAATTATTTGCAGACTATGGGCTATAGGTTTTTTCTTTTTCATGCGTCTTAACATCTGATGAGCAAAAACTGTCAGAATCATGGAACCTTAGAGTTGAAAAGGACTTCACAAGTTTAGTTCACTCCACGTGAAACATTAGTGAAAAGTGGTCATACAGCTGTTGCTTGAAAGGGATAGAAAATTTATTACCTACTGAGGGAAGCAGGTCCATTTTAAAACATCTGTAATAGTTAATGTGTTTTTCCTTATATGACTAAATCTTCCTCTGTGCAACTTCTATCCACTCTTCCCGGTTCTCTTCTCCGGTGCCAAGCAGATCAAATCTGATCCCTTTCCCACACAACATCTACTCCATTATTTGAACTGTGATCATCACTGATCCAAGCTAGACATGCCCAGTTCTGAATTCTTCCCTTGGTTAACTAGTTCCTAAAAGTATTTAAACAGCTTTTGCTTTACATTATCCACAATTGCAATTGATCAGATACATAGGATTTAGATTCAAAAGGATTATTCCTTTTGAAAGTGTAAGACTAGGCTTTGTTTATTTACTATGGTCACTAGCAGTTTTTTAATACCACTAGTATGTTTATTATTAAATTTTTCTTTTAACTTATGGGTTTCATTGACCATGTGCTATTAAAACACAGGTACACTGGAAATATAATTAAAGATGTTATCAACATGGGTTCCTACAACTATCTTGGATTTGCGAAGAACACTGGGACGTGCAAAGAAGCAGCAGCCAAGGTCCTGGAGGAGTATGGAGCTGGAGTGTGTAGCAGTAGGCAAGAGATTGGTAAGCTTAGCCCCAGACTTACATTTGCAAAACTGAAGTTTCTGAAATTTGTATTGGTTAATGAACTGATTATCAAAATTATGGCTATAAACTTCACATAGTCAAAACATTTAAACTGAATATTTTATCATTTGGATTTTCAGCTATTGTTTACATCAGATAATGACAGGTAGCGTATGATGGAACATTGAATTTGGAGTCAAAGGGCCCAAGTTAATGGCAGTTGCCTGAGTAATCATTCAACAGACTTTTTTTTTTTATTAAGTATGTGTTATGTACTGGGCTCTGCAAAATAATATTAATATATCTTTGTTTTTCTTCATGACATTGGGTAAGTCATTTAATGCCTCTGGAACTCATTTGCATCCTTTGCGAAATAAACAAAATTGGACTAAATGATCTCTAAGATCATAAGAAGTCATATGAAATAAACAAAATCTTGACTATGAAATTTAGCAGGCTTAGTTTTGATTTTTTTCCCCCATTCTAAGTGTCCATACTAATTGATGTTAACTAGTTACTTGAATATAAGAAAGCTCCACTATGATAGAAAAGATTTATTTCAGAGATAGAATAAAAGAAAAATGTGTCTGCTCTTAAAGAATTGGTTGTCATGAATGTTATAGAATAGCTTTATTCTTTGGTTTTATAGTATCATTAAGCTTACAAAAATTATATATTTGAAGTACAAAATTTACATGGATCTCACCAGTATTGACTAGTGCCACTGCCGTATCTCTTTTCTCCTTGTAACATTTGGCCTCATATGGCTGTTTTGGTTAGTAGCACAAGTTTTGACATCTGTTTTGCATTTTAAAATATTTTGTTATTATATTCTGCAGAATCATATTAGTCCTGTTAATGGTAGTTGCAAAAATATCTTCACACTCATAACTGTGCAAACAAACAATCATCTAGAGAAAACACTCAATTCCTTCACTAAAGTAGATTCCAATGAGAAGCAAGTTGAGCCAAGAGGTCAGACATATCATATTTCTCTTGGACCTTGGATGGCCTTTTTTGGGGAGAGGGAGGTGCCCTAAAGATCCTTGGATTTTCTGGCTAGTGTTATTAAAATGGAAAGATCTTACATTATGTTCAGCTTACAACTTTATTTGTCCTTGTCATGTGTGTAAGGAGCATTATTTAGTAGCCACATATAGCAGGTAGGCTTCATAGGTTATTTAGTAAGCAGTTAGCTGCTGATTGTGTGTCCACACAGTACTAATTTGTCTTTCAAATTATGAATATTTAAGTGCTATGCATTTTAAAATAACAACATTATACATAACTCACACTGCTTTTGAATTCCTAGTCTACAAAGTTGTACCCTACTTGGATTCAAACTAGAAGTGATTCTTAAATTTGGAAAGTTTGAGTTTTTGAAACTAGTATTCATTCTGTATATAGGAAATCTGGATAAGCATGAAGAGCTAGAAAAGTTAGTGGCCAGGTTTTTGGGAGTGGAAGCAGCCATGGCATATGGAATGGGTTTTGCAACCAACTCAATGAATATTCCTGCTATTGTTGGCAAGGTAAGACAATAACTCATTTGTTATAGACTGATTGTGATCATTTCCCCCTTGATTTTGCTGAAAGGGTAAAACAAAACAGGATGGGTTATAAATTTCAATTTTGGCTGTGATTATCACATATACTAACTAAACTTATGTTCAGTGGTTGTTAGGTTTCAGATAAGTATACTCCATGGCAAATTTGGTCACTTTGAGTAAACCTATGACTCTTTATTATCTCAAGATTTCAAATTTATCTATGACTATCTTTCTTTCAGAAAAAGTTTATTTCAGTCCTTGACTTCTAACAAAAAATAATTTAAGGGGACTTTTCACTTTATGTAGAAGATTCTTGACAAAAGTCATTCTGTTGTCTTCATCATTGCATCGAGATGACCCAGGGCTTTGCTACATCAGCAAGCTCTAGCAAGTATTATCAGGAAGGGTAATATGTATGTGTATGGACTTTTTGACAGAGTACATGTCTGCAGTGCTTGGACTAACCTAATTTTGAGTTTGTTACCAGAATGTTGCTTACCGTTTAAATTTTTTTTTTAACCAGGTCATACATGAGATGGACAAAAGTACAAAATGAACATTGGTCCAATGCAGTTTGCTATAAAAAGGGGGCTAATGGGGCTTAGTTTACAAGCATTAATTTACATGTCTATATTAATATATTCTTTGTCCAGTGACTGAGTTGACATGGAGGAACTAAATCACATCTCTATTGACATTCTTACTGTAAATGAAACCCGGAGACGTAAAGACCTTGCAAATAAATGAAAGGACGGCTTGTTGTTTTCCTTAAAGAGATGAATGTAGAGGCAGCATTGTTTAGTGGATAAAGCCTCGGACTTGAAATCAGGAAGACCAAACTTTAATTCTAGCTTCAGACACTTACTAGCTGTGTGATCCCAAGCAAAGTCATTTAACCTCTCTGTGCCATAGTTTCCTCCTCTATAAAATGAAAGATTTGGACTTGCCAGCCTCAGAGATCCTTTCCAGATCTAAATTTATGATCCTAGGAGTCTGTGATTAATGAGTCGGCTGAGTCAGCACCCAACAAGAAGCATAATTTTATGGGGTGCTTGATCTCATTGCTCATGAGGAGCACTGCCAAAGACACCACCGTGAGGATTATTCTAATACATGTGCCACCATCCATTGTACAAGGAAGAAAAGGTGTAGTGCAGTAATAGATTGATTTTGGAGTCAGTAAACCTGGATTCAAATCCTGTCTTTTCTGCTTTTTTTAAAAAATATATTTTATTTTAACATCATTTTCATTTCCCAACATATCCCTTCCCTTGATGTGCCCCAGATAATCATCCCTTATAACAAAGGACTTTTTTTTTTAAGAAAGAAAGAAAGATGGAGAAACAAATAGTTTAGTAAAACCAACCAACAAACATACTGACCTGACAATGTATGTAACCTTCCATGTCCATAGTCCGCCATTCTCAACTTTTCTTTGTGGCCACACTTGATGATTATTGACATAGCATGCTGTTTTGTTTCTGTGTTGTTGTTTTTTTTGGTTGTTGTTGTCTTTCCATCGTTGTAGCCATGTGTATTGTTTTCCTGGTCTGCTCATTTCACTTTATATAAGTTCATATAAATCTTCACATGCTTCTCTGAATTCTTCATAGTCATTTCTTACCATTCTCTAGTGTATTCTGTTACATTCATGTACTTTAATTTATTTAGCCATTCTCCAGCATTTGCTTTATTTACAGTTCTTTGCTATTATAAAAAGCACTTCTGGCATTAACTAACAGTAAGTCATTGATAATGATGAGACTCTCTGAGTCTCAGTTTCCTCATCTGCAAAATGAGGGGCTTGGAATAGATAATCTCTAAATTTCCTCCTGGCTTTAAAATCATATGATTATAAGTAGAGAAATTCTGTAAAGAATTTGATAAGTTTCTTTAAACTAACTCATCATATATTTTAATACTTTGTGACTTCAGTTTAAAAAAAATATGGGTGTAGGGAATGACGTTGAAAACTTCTGGAAAATATAGTCAAGTGAAATCTCTTGTACAGTATTCTAACAAACCATAGCTATAACAGGCCAACAAACTTCCTATTTTTCGAGAGTAGAGCTTATTTTCTATACTTGTTGCATTTAGCAGAGTCACAAGAAGTTACTCACAAAAAAAAAGAACAAAAAACAAGTATGTGGCCCTGGAAGAGGAATTGAAATAAATGTGGAAATGGAGTACCATGAAAGTAAGCATAGTTATCATTTTGATGGCTTGAGATGTGTTATACTATCATCAGGCTCTGCAATTATTTGAGAAATAGAATTTTCTTCATCCATTGTATCATGAAGAAATTTCCAATGGATAATTGTAATGTACTTGGATCATAAGTTCCCTATTGCTATGATGTGTGAAGGCTGCATTCACTTATTCATCTGAGCTAGAAAAATGTAATACTAGGGAAGGAGAAGAAAATAAGGCTTAAGATCAAGAAATGAAAGAGGCCAATATAGAAACGTTGTTAGGTACAAAGTACAAGTAGGCAACTGAATTTTGCAGACCAGGAAACATACTACAGGTGATAAAATTGACTTTCTTAAGAGGCAAGATAACTAAAACTAATGATTATTTTAAAATCAGCTACCTGTGTGTTATCAGATAATCAGAACTGGCAAAGGTAAGAATAAATAACAATTTAGAATGTTGAAGATGAAAAGAAAGGGTATCCAGTTGTATAATTTCTAACCTGATTAAAAACTGCCACTTCTTAAAAATAGGATATAGAAGAAATTCAAGACATTGACTCTATGTCCACTTTAAAAAAAATAAATTTTTATTGATACTTTTTGTTTTGACTTCAGCTACAGTCTTCTTTCCTTCCAGGGAGCCATCCCTTAAAACAGAGAATAAAAAAGTGGGGGAGAGCAGTTCGACAAAACTAACCAACACACTGAAAAAGTCTGACATTATGTATAAGATCGCACAGCCTTGTTATGTACCTTTTGCAAAGAATTTGAGAAGATACCTTCTCATATTTCGGAGTTGGGAGGTCAGACTTCGTAAAATTTTATAGCATTATTTCAGTTTTTTTGTTCCTTCCATTTTGAAATATTGTAATCACTGTTTATACTATTTTCCTTATTTTCTTTATTTTTTTCCCTCATTCTTAGAGAAGCTTAATGAGTATAAATTTGTCACCACTATGAGATCAAAAGAACTCAGAAATTCCCTTAGCCAAGAAGTAATCTTATTTCTTTTTTTCTCTTAAAAAATTTAAAATTTTTAATTCCAAATTCTCTTCCTTCCCCACTTCCTTATTGAGAAGGCAAGAAACACAATGCTCTCTATTCATATGAAGTCACTCAAAATATACTTCCCTATTAGCCACATTGGGAAAAAAAAAAGCAAAAAAAAATTAAGAAGGTGAAAAAAATGCTTCAGTCTGCATTGAGTTCATCAGTTCTCTCTGGAGGTGAATAGCATTTTTCTGCATGAGTCCTTTGAAATTGTTGATCATTATGTTGATCAGAGATGTGAAATATTTCTCAATTGATTATTATTACAATATTACTGTTACTGTGTATGATGTTCTCCTGGTTCTGCTCACTTCATTTTGCATCAACTTATATGTATGTGTGTATATATATATATATATATATGTATATATATATATATATATATATGTATATATATATATATATACATATATATATATCTTTCCAGGTTTTTCTGAAATCATCCCCTTTATCATTTCTTATAGCATAATATCTCATCACAATCCTGTTCAGCTGTTCTCTAACCTATGAGCAATCCCTTAGTTTCTAGTTCTTTGCCACCATAAAAAGGGTTGCTACAAATATTTTTATACATATGGGTCCTTTTTCTTTCATCTCCTTGAGGTACAGACCTAGTAGCAGTATTGCTGGGTCAAAGGGTATGCACAGTTTTATAGTCTTATGGGCATAGTTCCAAATTGTTCTCCAGAATAGTTGGACCAGTTTCACAGCTTCACCTCACAGCTCCACCAACAGTACATTAGGGTACCTATTTTCCTGTATCCTCTCCAGAATTTGTCATTTTTCTTTTCTGTCATCTTAGTCTGATGGGTATGAGATGGTACTGTAGAGTTGATTTAATTTGCATTTCTCTAATTATTAGTTATTTAGAACATTTTTTCCTGTGACTATTGATACCTTTTATTTCTTCTTCTGAAAACTGTTTGTTCATATCCTTTGACCATTTATCAATCAGAGAATGGCTAACAATCTTTTTTCTAAAAGGAAAAGTATACACAAGGGCAATGACAGTTGACAGTATAAGTTGGTTTGCAAAACATTATGGAGGAGGAAGATTGAAAACTGAATTTTATCGCCTCACAACAAGAACAAAAAATAGTTTAGAAAACCAGTCTTCAAAGAGCTAAACCAGACCATTCAGACAGCATTTGTAGATGAAATTAGGACAACAGACATGAACTAAAACAGATTTTCTGGTATTTTTATACCGTTTTATTTTTATCAGTGATGTAGAAACATTGACATGTCTGTGCCCAGTGTACAGTGTGGTGAAATGTCAATGGCAACTTAAAGATGAAGTAGAAAAATGTAACAGAACTTGACCAAATTTATATGAAAGAAATCTGTGTTGAATGTAACATAATTTTTGATGTTTAGGAATTGATTTTTCAAGCTATTTCAAAGGAGAAATCCAAAAGAAAGGAAAAGGAGATTTCCCTTGTTTATATCTTGCTATTGCATTCAGGTTGAGTTATCCTCTAGTTGATGAACATCTTATTTACTTCCAATTCTTTGCTGCCAAAAAAATTGCTGTTATGAATATTTTGATGTATATTGTCTTCTCTCTCTCTCTCCCCCTCCCCCTCTCTCTCCCTCTCCCCCTTTTCATTCCCCTCTCCTCTCCCTCTTCCTCCCTCTCCTCTCCTGTCCTCCTCCTCCCCCCTCTCTCTCCCCCTCTCTCCTACCTTTCTTTCTCTCCCCCCTTCTCTCTCTTTCCCCTAAATTGCTTTCCAGAATGGCTGGACTAATTCATAGTTTAAGCAACATTACTTTAGTGTGCATATCTTTCTGCAGTCCCTCTAACATTGATTGTTGTCATTTTTTTGATTGTCTTTGCAAATGTACTGGGTATGAAGTGAAACCTCAGAGTTGTTTTGATTTCCAATTTTCTTATTAGTTACTTTGAACAACCTTGTAATAGCTCAATTCTGAAGCAAGAAAAAAATTGAGGAGTGTTCCAGGAAAATTTTACTGTTAATATATTTCTTATTTTGTTCTATTCTTACCCTTTCTCTTTTCAACAGCAAAAATCATTTGGCAAAATTTAAGTATAAGGAGTGGCAAATTTTAAGTGTAAGAGTTCTGAAATATCTATGACCACTCTTTCATTGTGCATTGTTTAGCTGAAAAATTGAAGTTTTGCTGCGTGGTAGAAGCACATTGGACTAGACGGGAGAAGACTTGGATCTAGCCTCAATTTTTCCTCTAACTAGTTGTATGACCTTGAACAAGTCCATCACCTTCTTAGGAACTCAATTTCCTTATCTGCAAAATGAGGGATTTGGATTAGATCATCTTGATTGTCCCTTCCATTTCTAATTCCTCTGTTTTTTGTGAAATTTTTTATTTTTAAATTCTACTGAATTCCTGCTTCCCTTTGCAAGGAAACATTACTTTTCTCAACTTTTAAAAATTTTTCAGTACTTTCCAGAGTAGAGGATTGGCTTAATACCTTATACTGTCTCTGGAGAAATGATTTTATTTTTATCACCTAGCAAAAGTATTATTATACCAAATACATATAAAATGATAAAAAGCATTATAAGGAATTTAAGGAATCAGGAGGTTCTGTGGCATATTGAAAACTGACTTTGGAGTCATTGGACCTGGAGTTTGAATCCCACTTTATTTTTTTTATAAGGGATTGGGAATGTTTATTTATTTGTTTATTTGTAAATAGCATTCTTTCCAGTTACATGTAAAGATAGTTTTCAACATTCATTTTTTAATAAGATTTTGAGTTTCAATTTTTTTCCCCTTCCCTCCGCCCTATCCCCCCTCCCCAAGACATCAAGCAATTTGATATAGGTTATACATATGCAATTATGTAAACATATTTCCACATTAGTCATGTTGTGAAAGAAGAAACTGAACCAAAGGGAGAAGCCATAAAAAACAAAAACAAAATTGAGACTCCATAGTTCTTTCTCTGCATGTGGATAGTATTTTCCATCATCAGTCTTTTGGAATTGTCTTGGATCAGAGAAGAGCTAAATCAATCATAGTTGATTATCATACAATGTTGCTATTACTGTGTTCTCCTGGTTCTGCTCACCTCACTCAGCATCAGTTCATAGAAGTCTTTCTAGGTTTTTCTGAAATCCTCCTGCTCATCATTTCTTTTTTTTTTTTTAATGAGGCAATTGGGGTTAAGTGACTTGCCCAGAGTCACACAGCTAGGAAGTATGTGTCTGAGACCGGATTTGAACTCAGATTCTCCTGACTGCAGGGCCAGTGCTTTATCCACTGCGCCACCTAGCTGCCCCCTGCTCATCATTTCTTATAGCACAATAATATTCCATCACAGTCATATATTACAATTTGTTCAGCCACTCCCCAGTTGATGGGCATTCCCTCAGTTTCCAGTTTTTTTGCCACCACAAAAAGAGCTGCTGTAAATAATTTTTACATTTTGTCCCCTTTATAATCTCTTTGGGATACAGACCTAGTAGTGGTATTGCTGGATCGAAGGGTATGCACAGTTTTATAGCCCTTTGGGCATAGTTGAATCGCACTTTAGACACTATGTGATTCTGGGCAAATCATTTAAGCTCTGGGTCTCAGTTTCCTCATCTCTAAAATGAGGAATTTGAATTAAAAGACCTTTAAAGTTCTTTTCATCTCTAAATCTATGACCCTAAACAGAAGAGAGAAGGAAAACTTAAAGAGAGATGTGTTAGACATCATACTTCCCTTCCTGGTCATGAAAATTGTATATTGACATTATGGTTTTATGATATTGTAAAAAGTCTAAGATAGGACTTTGGATATCTATTCCTAAGGTTGGGAGGGGGCAAATTCTACAAATGATTTGTTACCTCAAGACCATGAAGAAGTGGGTGGAGCTATAGCTAGAGGGGAGAGTTTTGATATATTATATGTTCATTGCACCTGTAGTTAAGGCCTGTCAGAAACTGGGGGTCCAAAAGTGGTACCAGTTTTGATATCAGAAGTAAAAAGTTCAGTGCCTAGTTTTCAGAGATATAAAACAATAGGGTCATGTAGATAGGCTTGGTTTAGGCTACAGCACTACTTAAAGGGAAACAATCTGGGTTTCACATAAAGAATGAGCTAGCACAGTGACTAAATGGATGCCAGTAGTATGAGATAAGAACAGGATTTTAGAGAAAGAAGGTCAGACATAGACTTATCAAAGAATATTACTATACTTTTGAATTTCAACTGTCTTATTCTTCCTAAAATAGTTTTATTTCACACCCTGCCCCCAATTCCTTAGTAAACTGTTTCTTTGACTTTGTGCCAGTTGACTTGGGGGTTATTAAATTAGCTTGCTGACACCAAGATCAGAGAGTCAAAGGAAGCCTTCAAATTCTCTCAAGATGCTCTGTTGTAGTCTAGTAGCAGGATGAGAGAAAGGAGAAAATTCATTTATATAAAACTTTACAATTTACAAAGTGCTTTCTCACAACAATCCCATGAGGAATCTGTAAAGAAGTATAAAAATGCTAGTTGTAATTAGAGAGTATAAAAAGTATCTCCATCTTGCAGATGAGGAAAACAGGCCCAGATATAGAGAACTATTTGCCCATAATCACACCTCTTAAGTATCAGAGCCAGTACTTTGGCCCAGCTCTTTTAATTCCAAATCTAGTACATTTTTCATTATCCCATGCTGACTTCTGAAAGGAAAAAACACTATCAGGGTGGAGTGGGACAGAGGGAGAGGATTTCATTTGTGGAAACCGTTCCTGGCCTGCCAAGGGGGATTTTTATACTGATAAGAGCCTAGGGAAGTTTAACTTCAGACAAGTGAAAAAATGAATTCTGATAACCAGACATTACCTAGGCAAAAAGTTAACAAAGCGCTAAAGGGTGTACATTGCAGAGAATGAGAAATTATTAATGGAAATTATTAGTCTAACATTAGTCTAATGGAACTTATAGTTGATTTTTCTGCCTAAGTTATGCTGAGGTGTGGTTACCTTTCCTGGTCACACACCTGTTAGATAACTCACTGACCTTGCTTTTCTAGTAAAACATGCCAAAAGAGTTTCTTGTAAATATGAGTCTGCTTGATTCATATACCATAGATCCCATCTGTTGAAATCCAGCCAACCTTGTAACTTTTTGCTGCATTAATAATCCTTTAGATGTATGTGAACTGTTGCAGAGGTTACTTGATTTTTAGTCTGGAAAAGTACCCTTTATGCCCCTTTGAGGGAAAAAAAAAAGCAAAATAAAGCAGGCAAAGGGAAGAATTAAATAATTTCATTGAATTTTGAATTATAAATATATTCCAGGAATGTATTGGGCCCTATAAGTGATCAGGTTCAAAACTATTTCCTTAATGTGTATAATGGGATAAGAAGAATGTAGCCCCTCTTGAAGTAGGTGATCCGGTATACAGCATTTTTTTTTTTCTGGGGTAGGGTGGTTTTATTGGAGTTACTTAGTCATAAATCAGAGAGTTCACATTCCTTGAATCCTGATTTGAATCAGATCAAACTGTCTGAGGAAATATTGAAAGAATATTCCTATGATGTGTCAGGATAGTTGAAATCCATTTGTAAGAGGGAGAAGAAGAAATTCTAATCATTGCATCACTGAACTTTTTTCTTTCAGGCTCATTTGGGCCAATAAATCATCCCTCCTGCCCCTCCCCCCCTCCACACACATGGAGCCATTGCCAGGAATGAAGACAATTCAGTTCACTGAAACAGTCTTATATTTGACAGGAAAATCTGCTTTCAAGTCAGGTCTTACCTGTTGAAGATTGTTGGCATTCTTGTTGGCAAGATTATTTTGAGTCCTAGGACAATAGGATGATGGAACATCAGAATCTGGGAGTGGTTAAATAAGTAGTGAAAAATCTCACATTTTCCTGCTTCAGCAAAAACAAAGTATCTTTGTGCTGGATGGAGCTCTGTGCTGGTTTTAGAGCAAAGCTAAAACTTTGACTTTGCTACCCATTTCTAACATTAAGGAAGGACAAACATTAGACTCTCTATGAGGGAACACAGTGTCTCCCTTGGTCCCAGTTCTTCTTTTCCCCCACTCAAAAAATAAATATACAAAAGCCTCAGAACAGAGAAGTGAAACCCCTATGAAATTGGACAAGTTTCAGATATAGGTTTTTAAAAAATTATTCTTTTAACTATGAACCTACAATGTATTATCATCCAAGTACTAGGCTGGAGAAGCAACTCATTACAACCTTCTACTAAGCCATGTAATGTGCATCAGTTGAGGGAGTGCTAAACTGCTGATAAAGTATTTTGAGATATGTTGAACTATGCAGTTGGTTATACATATGACATAGTTTAAGTAAGCCTGAGTTCTTGGAATGAGAGAATAAATTGGAAAGGTTATTTTTAATCGACCTCTAACATATATATCCCTTATCAAGTTGAGTATGGAGAAAGTATGGTTTATTTGCTTTCATGCTGACTTTTTTTCCCCCCTTCAATCTTCTGGCTTTGCTTTTGTGTTAGTTTTGCTTAACAGGATACTGCATTTTTAATGGTTTTAATTTTTTGTGACTTGTGTGATCTGTTTTTTCTCCTCAATTTTTTCTTTCTTCTGACTATTCTACACAGGGCTGCCTCATATTGAGTGATGAACTGAACCATGCATCTCTAGTTCTTGGAGCAAGGTTGTCTGGAGCAACTATTAGAATCTTCAAACACAATAGTGAGTGGTTTCAATGTTTTTTTGGTTAGTCTTATTTATTTAATTCTTCTTGATCATTGTTTAACATAGGCTGGGAATCCCATTGCTTACACCAAGCATTAGAACTAGATTGGAAAATATAGAGGAAATAGCAGAATTTAAAGATGTTTTTATTCTTTTAGTAATTATTATCTTTTCAGTTAGATTATGGAGAAAGGCTGAAGGAGGGCTTTTTCTCCTAAAGTAATTATTCCCTTATGTTCTTTCTCCCCTTTGTTGTTCAATTCTCCTTCATAGTGCAAAAATGGAAAAATTTCTACATATAAATCATTTTATTGAAATTTTTCCCCTTTGAAATGTAAAATAAACTTCTTAATTTTTTTCCCTTCTGAATATAAACATGAAAAACTAGAATAATTAGCACATTTTCATGTGTTTCCTTCTAACTTTCCATACTTTCTTGATGGTAACAGAAACTTTGGTTTCAACTCCAGGAAGCATACTTTTGGGAATTTTTTTGTATGTGTGGGTTAGTTATCATTTGGCTTGTTTGATAATTCATAACTTGAGATTTAAACATACATACTCTGCTGCTTTATTGTTTTCTAATGCCATGTTTCTAACACCTTCTGCCTCCTTTCCATGTATCATCTTTTATGAAAATAGCAAAGTAATGTTTTCCTTTATATATCTGTATTTTTAAAAAGCTTTTTATGACAGGGATGTGTACTTTTAAACTCGGCCCCCCAGATTTTATGCTGCACAGATATTTTTTTCCTAGTTCATCTTGATGTATATCAGACCGGCTTATTGTGGTATTTAGAACTTTAAAACTAAATAGATCTAACATGAAAACTTCTTCTACTCAGGGAAACTACAGTAATGGAAATGGCAGTTAAATTATTTTCCAGGAAACTGAACCTCTAGAAGGGGCAAATAGAAAAGGAAGAGCTCAAGATGTTAAGAGTCCTTTGGAAATAATCTGTGTATAATTAGGCCCAATTTAAATTCCCAGCCCAGGTGTAGCGTAGAGAGTGCTTTGTACTTCCCAAACTAAAACAATTCTTTTTTCCACATAAAAATTATTCCCCTAACAATTTTTAAAGAATCATCATCTCAGATCTCTATGATTACTTACCTTATTATTAGACAGAGAACATATAGACTCTTCCGAGGAAATATTGTACATATTCGAAGAATTTAGCAAACTCTAATGCTTTGGTGGCTTTTAGTTAAACTTAATTGTTTAATTTATTGTTAAATATTTAATAAATAGTTTGTTGGTCTTTCTATATCCCTAGTTAGAGGTCATCTTTTTTGACTTGCCTGACACTTTGTGACATAATCACATATGTTTGACTTTTTTTTATCCATGTTAATAACTCCACATAATTGGTCAAATCAAATATTTATCCCAATTGACGGCTAAGATGACTGAAAATATGGGATCAGTGATGGTACATTCTGGCAGGATGAGGAACAACTGCAGACTAGCAGAGCAGACAGTCTCAACGTAAAGAAAAACTTCCTAATAATTAGAGCTATTCAGAATTGGAATAGATCTCCTTGAGCAGGAGTGGGTTCTTCAACAAAGGCTGAATAGTAGTCACTTGTTGGGGAGATTGTACAGTATTCAAACTAAATGGCCTCCAAGATCCTATGATTCTGGTATCTTTTCAATTGCATACAAAGATGACACTATTAACTCACTATCAGCATTAGGACATGTATTTTATTATTGTGTGGTGTGACATGGTGTGTGTGTGTATGTATGTGCATGTGCATGTGTGCGTGTGTGTTTTAATTCCCACAATGGGATAGTGTACCTACATTGATCCATCTAGCCTCTGGATCAACCTTTCTTGTGCATCCATTTGTGGGATGGATGACTGAGGTTACAGATGTAGCCTGTGGGCATGGAACAGAGCAAAACTCTTAAAAAAATTAAATAAGAAACTTTGGCCTCCTTTGATCAATTTCTGCTATTTAGAAGCTTATAGTCTCATAACCAGGCCTGAGTTAGCTCTACCCAATAGTAGAGTCTTATTAATTGAGTCAATTAGGTCATATTAACTTAAGCAGGACCTCAATAGTTTCTGATGACATTCCAAATGAAAGATCTTAATTCAAGCTGATCACCTTTCTCATTGTCCTCAGCATTATAACAATATGCCATTTCTGGCAACTTTCTTGAATTAAAAAAAATATATATTCTTGGAACAAGTGAAGGAGAAGAAAATTTGATGTAGAGTGTTATGATTCTTTTCTATTTCCTCTAGATATGCAAAGCCTTGAGAAGCTATTAAAAGATGCCATTGTGTATGGGCAACCTCGAACACGAAGGCCCTGGAAGAAAATACTCATCCTTGTAGAGGGAATATACAGGTAATCTTGCAGCCCTACATCTTGGTGATAATATTCCATAAAAACATACACTAATAACAATAGCATTAACATTGATAACTTTACATAATGCTTTTATGTTTACAAAGTGCTTTGTCTAATTATATTTAAATGATCCTGTCAACCCTTTGAGGTAAGTACTATAAGTAAAAAAATTTTAAGTTGACCTTAGGTGTCCTCTCATTTTACAGATAAGGAAATTGAGGCTCAAATTGTGGATGCTATTTGCCTAAAATGATATTGATACTTAGTGGCACAGCTGAGAGTTTAACTCTTCTTCTCGTTCTTTTTGTTATGCTACATTTTCTCCTTATCTCCCTTCTGTTTAGATGCAATATTTGCTGACTACAATTATGCATGTTGGCAGCTTATTTCTTTTAAAAAAAATCTTGTTTCAGATGTTTATTTCTTGTGACCATATTCCCCTCCTTTCCCACACACAATTTGTTTACTGTTTTTCATTACTTCCATCAAAAAATTTTTAAGATTTTAAATCTAGTGTTGACTCCTAGATATAAGCTTGAGGAAAATCTGTTCTGGCCTCTTTTCTTCCAGGGTAGATTAACTTCTGTTGTTGACTGCTTATGAAAGATATGATTTCTTTCCCTAGAAGTCTGCAGAAAAGTTGGTATTAAAGTTGTTTAGCAATCGATATGTTGTAATATGGCATCTAAATCTATGCTTAATACCATCATGTCATGTACTGTACTTGGAAGTTATGATTGAATTCCTGCCTTAGAAAGGACTGCATTATGAGAGATAACATTTGAATTAAAATAGATGTTGAGGATTCTTAGATACTTTTAAAAACCACAATAGCTGCAAAAAGGGTAACCATTCAGTCGTGGGACCAAGACAAGTTTCAGTGTTTTTGTTGCTGCATATACAACAATCAGACTTTGTTCAAGCACCAATAAAGTTAGCAAACAGGGGCCAAAATATTAGCTTTCAGTTAAAATCTAAGTTTATGTATCCTGTTATCCTGTTTTGCCAGCATGGAAGGGTCAATTGTTCGCCTCCCTGAAGTGATTGCCCTTAAGAAGAAATACAAATCTTACCTGTATCTAGATGAAGCCCACAGCATTGGGGCCCTGGGCCCGACAGGTCGGGGTGTAGTAGAATACTTTGGTCTGAATCCTGAGGACGTGGATGTTATGATGGGGACATTCACAAAGAGCTTTGGAGCTGCTGGAGGATACATTGGAGGCAGGAAGGTAAATGTGGGTTAAGAAATGGGGAGCATGCTTGAAGCTAAAGAAAACCTCTGTTGAGCAGTTGAGTAACATGTTGGTAGGCCCTTGAGTAGCAATGCTGTGGGTATAAATTTGTTTCCTACTTGGATTTGCAGTACCAGTGAGCTTCACGCTTTGGTTGTATGGTGAGTAACTCTAATACATCTTTGCTGAACTAAAGGTGCCTTCTGTTCTTTGTTTTTTATTCTTATAGCTTCTTCCCAAACTAAATGCTCTTCCGAGGTACAGAGTGCACTGTGGTGTGAGAGAACACACAGTGGTACTTCCTGTTTACAGTAGACTTCTATTTGATTTGAGTTGTGCTAGTGATCCTGGATGCAGAGGACTTTAGAAAGACCAACTGGGAATGAAATTACTTTGCTAGCTTTGGGGTTCCAGATGATTTGAGTTTCTCAGCTGGGTGTTAAGTTTTAACAGCAGAAATTTGGAAGAATCCAGATTTTCCTGGTTTTGCCAGAATCACTCTTTAAGTGACAACCTGCTAATCGCATCTCATAATAAGCGTACAAGGTCTGGGTTAGGTTTTTTGGTTTTTAATTTTGTCGAAATACTCTTTCTGAAGAGGGTCATCTTTGGGAAACTGATCAATGTTTGGAAAGTTTTGCTTGCTGACCAGAAATCTACAAAACAAAGCATTCAGTATTGCTTCCCATAATCCAAGATAGAGTGAAATTAGATTCTTATGCAATTGAACTTTAGAATAAGTACATGTACTTTTTTATTTGGTTCTATTTTTATACGTGTGTACACACACATACGCATTCCTTTTCTAGAATACACATTTTCTTTTGGAAGGCAACTGGTTAAGGAAAGTGAAAAACAAGATGTGAAACCCTTGTATCTGGCAGACTCTATTTTTATTCCATGACTTTAACTGATTTTTTTTTTGCTGATTATATTTAAGTAGTTTCCTTTTTTATAATTTTTGCTGCACTTCATTCATCTATGGATCTTCAGAGATTTGCTTGGTTCATAAAATGTTGAGTTTGAGATATTAACAATATCTTATTTGTATACTGTTTAGGAGTTTTAAAGGATTAGTTTGTGGAGCTCAGGGTTAGATGTAAGTAGTAGCTTTGTCAAAACAGAAAGAATTGAACAGTGTACAGAAAGAGTGATCACAAACGATTGCCTGGGAAAGCCAGCCTAGTATCTTTAAGAATATGAGATGACATGTTCTCCTGAGTTTAGACTTTGGAGGACATATCCTTCTGTGTTAGGACATGGGGAATAAAAAAAATTCAACAAGCAACTAACCTGCAAAAGTAAGTGCAGTAAATATTTAGTAAGTACCTGCTATATATGGTACAGTATGAAGGACTGGAGATAAAAACAAAACCAAAAATGAAGCTAGTCCTGTCCTTGAGAGTTATATATTCTGCTGAATGTGAAAAACTATGGATACCATATACTTTCCAACATTTATTTTCCTGATTTGGGGGTCAATTCTTCTTGAACTGTAATGGTAATAACTTTACATGTCAGCCTGACTTGTTGATTTAAGAGATCAGAATCAGTGACAGTGAAGCAAAAAATCTGTACTAGATGCCAATAGGATATTTGTTTCATTGTTAAAGCCTTTAAAACCGAGAGATGCCTCTAATTATGTGTTTTTGCTGACTTCCTCAGGAGCTGATAGACTATCTCCGAACACATTCTCATAGCGCCGTATATGCCACATCATTGTCACCACCTGTTGTGGAGCAAATCATCACCTCCATGAAATGTATTATGGGTGAAGATGGCACAAACCTTGGTAAGTCTTTGTTTTATTATATAATACCTTAGGTTGGAAGTTGCAATTATAGGGCAAATATACTTTGCTGCCCTTCTTCCTGAACATGGTTTTTTAAGGCAGTCTCTCACAGAATTCATTCTTGTAATTCTCAAGTGTACCTAGTACAGAATCAGTGTAGACCTAGATAATCTAGCAGATGAGCCCTTTCAGGTAACAGTGAAGCTGTCTCACTTCCCATTGAGTGTGTTTATAGTCACATTAATTTTAATGTCATAACTTTTAAAGTTACATCTCTTTCCAGTCTTCCAGTTGTGTGTTTGGTGATACTATATTATTGGTATGATTGATATGTGATGAGCAAGAGCTACTACTTCTTTAATTCAGTGTCTTAGGCTTTCTTTCGTATAAATGGTAAAAGATAATTCAACCTTTGGCTCCAATTGTTCTCAGCTCTAATAAGATATTTGAGATTTTTTTTTAAATGTTTTAGACTAAATGTTGATAGTATTGTTTATGCTATTTGGTATAATTGTTGATCACTAGGGGGCAGTGTTGATTATACAATGCTTAGGATCTTGGTTAAAAGTAGAAGGTGATCCTGTAGCTTTGGAATGTTGTTAACTTTATATAGCAGGTAAGACCTGTATTCCTTTACCTGGTTGCCTTTTTAAGTACTTTTGAAACAATTTTGGCTTTAGTAAAAGTTGTCAGACCCACAATCTTTTGAAGTTGCAAAGACGCAAACTTAGACTGGATGTCAGGACAACCTTCCTACCAATCTAAGCTATCCAAGAGTGGAATGGGCTGCCCTCAAAGGGATGAGTTCTCTCACTTTGGAGTTCTTCCATCATAGTGATGACCACTTATCAGATATGTTATAGGAGAAATTCCTTTAGGGAAAGAGTTGGACTAGATGCTTCTGAGGTCTCTTCTAGCTTTCAAATTTTGTGATTATATGTAGGCTGTCCACAAGGGGAAATTCATTTTGTATTACAAGGATGAAGAGATACTAAACATGGTTTTAAGTCTGAAAATGCATTAACAGAGGGTAGTGGAAAGAATGTTGGACTTGAAATGAGGAAGCCCTGGGTTCAAATCTTGCTTCCAATCCTTCTCTGTGAGATGTTGGGCAATTAATTCACTTAGACTCTCTGAGCCTCAACTTCCTTGTCTGTAAAACTGGAACAAAAATACCTACAGTTCTTACCTCCCAGTATTGGATGTCAATTGCTTTGCAAAACTTAAAGTGCTGTTTAAATATAGATTATTATCATGGCTCGGTTGACTTATCTCTCTCCACAATTTTCAATTTAAATTCCTTAAAATAGAATTGTACATTGTTTTGAATTTGTCTAAGAATGGAAAAGTCCTTTCAATTAATTTTTGTTCAGTTGAAATGGAAAAGAGGACACTTTCTGTTTTATCCCTCCTAATTCATTCAGATTTAAAATTTGTTACTTAAAGTTGTAGCATTCCTGTAAACGATATAAGTACTATATTAGCAGGAATTAAATTATACTTCCAAGACTTCTTTCATTTTTGTATTTAGTTGGTGTCCATACAATTCATATCTCACTTTCATTAAATCTAGTCTTTCAGGCATTTCAGACACTTCATAGGGAACACTAACACAGTATGTAGGCTCACATGTATAAAAACAAGTCTCAGTTTGCTACCTTAGGTGTTCCTTATCTCCCATAATGTAGATATATATTAAGCATTACTTGAGGTAAATTAAATATCTTTTGTTTAATAAGAGTGATGTGCTGGTGAAGGGGACAATATAGTGATGGGACATAGGCCTTATAGTAATAGGAGTCCAGCAAATAATGATAAAAAACATTAATTCCAAAGACATTTTTTTTAAGACATTTTGAGACATTCTTGAGAACAAATATCACATTTTTGTCTTTGTAGAACCAGAGCCTAGCACGATATTTTATTTATAATAGGCATTTAATAGATATTTGTTGAATTTAATTCACCCTGACAAATTTATTTTAGTCTCACATATATTCATCAGTTCCTTTGTTTGGCCTAATCATTTTTATCTCTGGCTGCTCAATAAAATGGAGGAACATAGTACAAGCAAAGGTTTTGCTAATCTGGTTGTGGCAGGTAGATTCACAGACTTTCTCCACAGAGATTTCTATGAAAATTAACTCAAAGTAAAGAAAAAGAAATAATATTAAGTCACTTACTTTAACTTTAGATCTTAGGCACGTGAAATAATGTTTATTTCATGGTTTTGTTAAAAGAGCATCTTTCTACCTTCCTAATAAGAAGGAAGAAATGTGATCAGTGTTGTGCCATTTAAGTGAATTTAGGAGCAGATGGTACCATATGCTAATATTGGAGGGAGAGGGACCCTTAGGTCCCTAAGATATTAATATGTTGACCTTTTTTTATGTTGAAAGGTTAGAATTGGATATTAAATTTTACTCTAAGCAATATTTTTACGGATTGTTGTAAGGCAAAGGAACCCATAATTTAGACAGAAAGCAATATAATATAGTCTGGGCAAGATGACAGTTAAGAATGACCAAACATACCATTCATAATATCTAGTGTCATCTCATAGTCCTTAGATAAAGAGTAGTTAATGAATCTCCTTTTGGGTTGATAACTTTTAGGAACAGTATCAAACATATCCTGCAGCAAGGTACAGGTACTTAAAATATGACTTGCTTAATTTTGGCCTGCATGCAATTGAACTGATAGGTTGAACTGATAAGATTTTTTTAAAGGTATTGATCTTTTTATATCTACACGTATATATGTATGTGTGTGTGTATATATAAATATATATATATAATGTATATATATGTATATGTGTTGGTGTGTATTTTGTTTCATATATATATATTTCATAGATCCATAAATTAAAATACTTTTAACTTTTACTTAGATCTTTCAAAGCTATTTGAAATTATTGGGATTGCTTATCAATTGTCCTAGTAGTATTACTTGTTTTAGTTTAATTTAAAATATAACCAGTATTTAAAGTATCAAAGTTAATATTGTCCAATACACCCTATTTACAAAATTTGAAATCTACTTAATACTTTCTGTTAAGGAAGATAAATACATTTCTGCTTAACAGAAGGAGAAGGAATATCATAGAAAGCAAATTGCTTTAGATTACATGGTGGTTTAAGGAGATCTTAGGAACAACATCTAGATCCCCTGTTCCTTATTCCATTGGCTTGAACTCTTAAGATAATGTTCCATGCCTCATTTTTGTTCAATGTTATTTTAAAGAAAAAGAAAAATAATGAAAATGGCCATAGAGTCATTTCAAAACATGTCTTTTTATAGGGTATCCTGTGTTATGGTATTCTGTAAGATTATTAAACTTGTATAGTCTCCTGTAAACTAATTATTGTAATAAGTATTCCTTCCTTTGAGACCATTCCAGAAGTCTGTCTCTAACCAAACAGAATATAAAAAGATAGCATGATTTTGTGTACTGGACTGATCATTTATAGATAAGACTACAGGAATCAGTGAAGGAAATTATTGGGTGCTGTTTTATGATTATGTCACATCAATGAGCAAACTCTTTCTTGCTTCTAAATTTTAGTACTACCACCCAGCAGTTAGTTTTTAGCAATAGAACTGTACAAAGAGTGAATAAATGGAAATAATTTCTGTTGAAAAAAATGTAGCTTGCCTACTCTATACCTAATATGTTCTTACCAGTATTTTGGTTGGTTAGAACCCTGAACCAAAAGTATGTCTACCACTCTGATCTCACCAGTGACAAATATAGAGAAGAATTTTTATTTTGCAATTGCTCTACTTAATTCAATTCAATAAATATTTATTAAGGATCTACTATGTACCAGGCACTGTGCTAAGCACTGGGGATACAAAAAGAGGTCAAAGACAGTCCCTGCCCTCAAGGGGACAATCTTTGACTATACTTGCATTGCTAAAATAATGAGCTTTCAGTCATAGTAATAAAGGGTCAGTCACATTTTTTAACTTAGTTGCTTTGTTCTAAAAAGTTGAATTTTATTTGAAGAATACAATAGTTGTATAGTTGAAAGAAAAGGTAATAGGGGCTCATACAACCTCTGTCATTGAAAAAGATATCACTTATTATTAGGGATTCTGAATTTGAAGTCCCTGATAAATCTTACATATTTGATGCTCAGAAGGGTAGATGTGCCTTCTTTCCTAAGCTAACTCTCCTTTTCATCTTATTAGCACATTAGATATTCTTTGTGCATCAGCCTTTTTGAATTAAGAACATATTTTTCAAGTGATGATTGGCTATTGTCTCTTTTGAAAATTTTTATTCTTAAAATTTTTGGGAAGTAGCTAGGAGAAAAAGTGATCAAAACATGGGTAAAGTTCCTAATTACAGGTCACTAAATATTTGAGGAAAAGACAGTTGAACCTGACTCAGAAATTGAACAAGCCATAAATCAACTACAAAGGAGGTCCCAGGGAAACTTGGTTTCCAGGGATTTAAAATAAAGTACATCAAATACATAAGGAATAATTAATACCACTTCTACCAAAATTATTTTCAACAAGCAAGGGGGAAAGCACTGTACCAAAACCCTTTCATAAAACCAATGGTCCTGATAATACCCAAAGAAATGGGTAAAACAAATAGAGAAATGTTTACCCATTTTACTAATAAATATTGAGTCAAAAATTTTAAATAAAATCTTAATGTAAAAACTGCTGCAACACATAAAAATTTGCTGTTGCCAAGTTGAATTTACAGTTTTTGTTGTTTAGTTGTTTCAGTCATGTCTGACTCTTCATGGTTTTCTTGCCAGTTACTGGAATGGCTTGCCATTTCCTTCTCCAGCTTATTTTCCAGATGAAGAAACTGAGGCAAAGAGGGTTAAGTGACTTGCCCAGGGTCACACAGCTAAGTAAATATCTGAGGCCAGATTTGAACTCAGGAAAATGAGTCTTCCTGACTTCAGGCCCTGCACTCTATCCACTGTGCCACCTAGCTGCCCCAGAAATTATAAATTTATAATCAAGATATGGAA